TTATGCACAATAATATTATATAGTACGCCCCCATTCATGTGACATACAACCGACCTATTATAGCAGTATAGCTGCTGACCTATTTATCGTCCATTCGTCCACGCGTTTACGCGACACATACCAAGTCTAAAAATGTTGGGTTGTGGACTTCAAACTGCAGTACGTTCATCGAGCATGCTCACTCCCATTTTATTTTTCAATAATGCAGTTATATTAATAACAATATATTCAAGTTTGAGGTATTTTATACTACTTGAGTGTATACCCGTTCGAATTTTTGTTTTAATACGTCAACATTTTCAAAAAAATTATCAGCTCAATAGTTATTACAATAAAAGCTAAAAATTAAGGTGATATTCTCCTAATTTGAAAAACGGAAGTTTATACCACAACATGACACCCCTTAAGTGATACAAAAAATCTCAAAGAATTTGAATACATTCGTTATTAAAAAAAAAAAATAATGTGAATGAAACTACTTGGCTAATCACCCTGCAGTATATGAAAAGACAATTGGATGCAATTATATCTACTGGTTCTAACCACGTTACCTACAGCATACATATTTCATTTATTATATATTCTRCTTGAWATTATACTTTTTTAAGTTCAAACGGAACAGAAAACTTATTCTCGGAAATAGTCCTTGCTTAAGACTACAAATGTTTTTTCATGAACTAGGACGATATTATATATGTATATATACCCTTAAACACCTCTTTGACGCTTAATTTAAGGTCACTTTTCCCCAACCTACTGCAAATAATGTAACACTTCAATTTGGAAAMAATCTAGTAAAATAAAATACATAACTTATAGGTATCAATGAGTTTTCAACCAAAATAATGTATACTAAAATCGTTTATATATCCAATCGAAAAAGATAATCATAAGTACCTAATATTGAGTTCGTATAATACGTTTTTGATAAATATAAACCAATACGAAAGATAAATTAGATAAAAAATGCTTAAATAAACCTAAGATTCAAAAAAGATTCTAAATTGAGTTTGTTGTATTTAATACTTAAAGTCAGAGTTGAAAGTGTTATGTTTTACAATAGTCTAAAAAGAATAAATTTTCCTACAAATTTATACCCCTATATAATATTGATTTAAATCTTCAATATATTTTATTTACAGAGATACCTATCTATCAAATGTAACGGATATTAGACATAAGGAGAAGTATCAGTATTTAACGAGCATACTAAGCCCATTACGACTTTGCTTCCTCTAAAATGTATTGGGTGCTTAAKCCCCGTTAATATTTTTGAGTGATTTGCGCCTATGAGGGACATAATGATTGCCATAACTAGTGATATCTATACCCATTTTGGGAACATAACTTACCCACACCAAATTATGACTTATGTAAAACAAGTAT